CCAGCACTCACATACTCTTCATCCAGCACTCACACACATCATCCAGCACTCACACACACGTCATCCAGCACACACACACACATCATCCAGCACGCACACACACGTCATCCAGCGCGCACACACACGTCATCCAGCGCGCACACACACGTCATCCAGCGCGCACACACACATCATCCAACACTCACACACACATCATCCAGCACTCACACACACATCATCCAGCACTCACACACACATCATCCAGCACTCACACACTCTTCATCCAGCACTCACATACTCTTCATCCAGCACTCACACACGTCATCCAGCACTCACACACACGTCATCCAGCACACACACACACATCATCCAGCACGCACACACACGTCATCCAGCACGCACACACACGTCATCCAGCGCGCACACACACGTCATCCAGCGCGCACACACACGTCATCCAGCGCGCACACACACATCATCCAGCACACACTGCATTCATTATACACACTCTTCACTCACTACAAACACACTACACTCACTATACACTCACTACAAACACACTACATTCACTATACACCCTCTGCATTCACTATACACACTCTGCATTCATTATACACATTCTGCACTCACTACACACTACATTCACTATACACACTCTGTATTCACTACAAACACACTACATACACTGCATTCATTGTACACACTCTGCACTCACTACAAACACACTAAATTCATTATACACAATTTGCACTTACTACAAACACACTATATTCATTATACACACTCTGCACTCACTACAAACACACTACATTGACTATACACACTCTGCATTCATTATACACACTGCACTCACTACAAAAACACTACATTCACTATACACACACTGCATTTACTATACACACTGCACTCACTACAAACACACTACATTTATTATACACACTGCACTCACTACAAATACACTAAATTTTTTATACACACTGCACTCACTACAAATACACTAAATTTTTTATACACACTGCACTCACTACAAATACACTACATTCATTATACACACTCTGCACTCACTAAAAACACACTGCATTCATTATACACAGTCTGCACTCACTACAAACACACTACATTTATTATTCATACTCTGCATTTACTACAAACACACTACATTCATTATACACACCCTGCACTGCACTATATGCATAGGAGTGTAATTTAAAAAAAAAAAAAAATTTAGGGGAGGCAGGAATCTTGGGTGAGTTCCCACACTTTTTGATGCTATCACAGAGATTTCCAGTGATGATGAGACCCGTCAGAGTTGAAGCAGCTGTCTGCATCTGGCAATGGTTCATGTACTTCCTAAGCTGCAAAATGGGAGGTATTTGCTAAGGGAAGCTTTTGAAAAACTGTCAACTAATTAAAAAAGTGACAATGATAGCTGAGCTCATTTCCTATAGATCTGGAGCTTAATTAAGCACTCACCAGCTCAAAAGATTTTGGTCCCACATTCTGGTCTGTCTGAAGACATTGGGTTAGGTCTCAATGAATACTCAAGTGTCTTCAATGGTTGCGACCAAGGCCATCAATTTGTGCAGAATAAGTTGCCAAATAAAAGAAGGAGGAGTGAAAAATGATCTTATGGAACAAATCAAAAACTGTAACAATGTATTTAAACCGCCAGGAGTAGCATGTCCCTGAGACATTACTTGCTCCTGGGTTCTTTTACAACCCACACTATCATTCAATTCCTGTGTATATATCCCCAATAATAGAAATGGTGGCATTGCTAGGGAGAGCTGGGGGAGGCAGAAGCAGCCACCTACTATAAAAAGAAGGACCAGTGGTAGAGTGCTTCAACAGGCTGCTTGGCTTACTGTCAGAACTTTGCTGCAAAGCCCTCTATTAGTTAGGTAGCATGGTGAGATTGCATTAAGATACTTGGCTGTGCAGCATTTGCTTGTTTCCGACTATGTTTTCATTGAGATCCGGAGAGAATATCAGCAGCCCATCGTCCATTGGTAGAAAAGTAGGGATGGGTCATGGCATATCCCACCAATCTGTTAATGTATGGGTCATCAAGTATTCTGTAGGGCGGAAGCTAGGGCTGAACCTAGCAACGCTCCCATGTGTCATATAGTGTTCTCTCTCCATGTTAATCTGCCCAGAGATCTCCCATTCCTACCTACTATGTGGATGTGATTATTAGCTCAGAAAGTTTAAAAGGTATAGTGCTACCTTTAAAGTAGATAGGGATTAACTGTTTTTGGAGGTAGACATATGCTATTGCTTGTATGCACACATCTTTTGAGACCCACAGCATGTCCACATATTTAAAGGGATGCTCCAGACCCCTAAAACACTTTAGCCTGCTGAAGTGGTTAATGTGTGAAGAGTGTGCACTCTTGACATGATGACGTAATTCAACATGTAGGACATAATTTGCCTGTGGAAATAATAAAGAGTTAATATAAGTTTATCTCATAATAGAACGTGTTTAAGAATGAGAGGTGGTCATTAATAAGGTCACCATTTATTTATTTATTTTCAGATTATGGTCAGGCGACATTAAAATGTTGGGTAAAACACATCCTTCTCAGTTGGACATATAATTATTGTAACATAAGATGTCGGAGACTTCAATATTTTCAGGGTAATCATATCTAATTAGAGCCTACTTGTATCTGCATGTGGACATCTCTTTTTAATCTTGTCATATCACTGGATACACACTGTATCGCACAACATAAAATTCTACTGAAACCAAAATACAAGATAATTGATTAATAGGATAAAGGAATGCTTGAAGCCAATCTTAACTGTGACAGAAAATTGTAAGCGTTGTCTTCTGTAGAAATGAGAAAACTATATAGACTTTTCAGAAATCCTTAAACTATTGTATCATCATCTACGATGACAAAGACAATCTTGTTTCAATTAACAAAAAAATAATAAGTTCATTTTGTTTCTGTGTTTGAGAGTGTTTTAGGTGACAAATACATGATGGAAAATTTGTATGTTTGAAGTTTTACAACTGCTTCATCAATCATCACCAAACATAACGGTGTACAACTGAGAATCCTACTTGGTATTGGTCCATGTTCAGATTCATGGCTGAAATAGTCAGATTTGGACAGTAAATGACATTTTGAGTTTAGTGGCAGACCCAAAAGCTGAATATTTTTCATAAACATTTGTACAGATCTCTTTCAGTTGAATAAATGACAATAATAAACTGAACAGAAACACTTTTGTCTTCATATTCACTTGAAAAAGAATCCTCATTAATTATCATTTTGTTTTTATAGATCAAAAGCAGCATTATTGTACTTTTCCTCATTGACCTAAATTGCTACTGTGCTTGGGTGTGACATCACATAAACATGCATCTATTACAAACAGATACGTTTGAGAAATAGGATTAGTTAAAGGGACACTATAGTCACCAAAATGACTTTAGCTTAATGAAGCCAATTCTCTAAGTGCTCAATTCTCTGCCATTCTGGAGTTAAATCACTTTGTTAATGCACCATAGTCACACCTCCCTGCATGTGACTTGCACAGTTTCATAAACACTTACTGTAAAGAGTCATCTAATGTTTATACTTCCTTTATTGAAAATTATGTTTAATTTAAATATTCGTATTCACAGCACTGTTAATAGCTTGCTAGACCCTGCAAGAGCCTCCTGTGTGTAATTAAAGTTCGATTTAGAGAGCAGGAGATAAAAACTTTTAAAGTAAATTACATCTGATTGAAAGTGAAACCATTTTTTTTAATCCAGGCTGTGTGAGTCACAGTCAGTGGAGGTGTGTCTAGGGCTGCATAAACAGAAACAAAAGTGATTTAACTCCTAAATGGCAGAGAATTGTACGGCCTCCTCCACGTCTCCTGATGTACTGGCCTGTCTCCTGGTAGCGCCTCCATGCTCTGGACCCTACGCTGACAGACACAGCAAACCTTCTTGCCACAGCTCGCATTGATGTGCCATCCTGGATGAGCTGCACTACCTGAGCCACTTGTGTGGGTTGTAGACTCCGTCTCATGCTACCACTAGAGTGAAAGCACCGCCAGCATTCAAAAGTGACCAAAACATCAGCCAGGAAGCATAGGAACTGAGAAGTGGTCTGTGGTCACCACCTGCAGAACCACTCCTTTATTGGGGGTGTCTTGCTAATTGCCTAGAATTTCCACCTGTTGTCTATCCCATTTGCACAACAGCATGTGAAATTGATTGTCACTCAGTGTTGCTTCCTAAGTGGACAGTTTGATTTCACAGAAGTGTGATTGACTTGGAGTTACATTGTGTTGTTTAAGTGTTCCCTTTATGTTTTTGAGCAGTGTATATCAGTTAATTGATGAGCATTGAATTTGACACTTGACTCTGATGAAGTACAAATCTCCCTGCTAATTACTGAAACACTTGGAGGCCATCAGTGATGAAGCACATTTGGCATTATTGTTTGTGTAAATAGATTGCACTTGAAATGATAAAATAAAACATCAAGAGCTTTGGCAAAAAAAAAAAGACTAAATAATCAGACCATGGAGATAATGTTAGGACGCAAAAATGATACCATCAAGGTTTAAACTGCAAATCCCAGGATTTATTATATTATGTTTATTTATTCTCTATCTTCAACAAATATGTATTTGTGAGATTTGAAAATTTAAATTAAATGTAGAAATCAACACCTTTCTTTCCTGCAACTGGGCGCCTCCAATCATTGTTACAAGATCTGTCATTTGCACCTGGCGTTAGAAAAGGCATAGACAGAAAAAGAGAAATTAAACAATGTGTCTCACTTTCTTCCAATACACTGTGTGCCCTTATCGTGCCTGGAATGAACTGGATTATGATGTAATTTGTTCAATATTTAATATAAAGGTAAAAGAAAAAAGATCCTTAAATTGAAAAATAATGTTAACACACATTAACAATGATTTTTAGCATTTCATTACGTAGTGTTTTTTCCAGAGAGCGCAACTTAGTAACAGGGGCCCACTAGTGCAGCCCACATTTATTCACAGAGCATCCAAAGTACAGACATTTCGGGACCCTGTCCCTTTATCAATGATAGATGCCCTCCAGACATTTATCATTAAATGCCTTCCAGGGGGGCATTTATCATTGATAAAGGGACAGATGTCCTGAAACGTCTGTACTTAGTTTGGATGTTCTTTAAATAAATTTGTGCTTCACTAGTGGGCCCCTATAACTCAGCTTCGCTTTGTGGCTGAATACTTTGGATTCCAGAGACACTGCAGGAGATGGAGGGATTAAACTCAGTATGCACTGCATTTCCAAATGAAACACTGAACATACAGACTCCAGTCACCATGACCGAATGATATACAATCATGTGAGGAGTACCCGGGTGCCATTCCGTGGAAATGGGGCAAATCTCGTACCTGAGTCCCTGCTTGTGCCGAGACTCCTGGACAGCAGGCTTAAGACATCATGAGATGTCGCTCATTTATTGGCTAAAAATATGCACCAAATTGACTACAGATGTTCCGAGCTGGCAATTGGCGCCCCAATGACCCTATCAGGCATATAATTGCATAATGAAATGTTGTAGATATTGACTCTAGGTGCCATGACTACTTCCAATTCTTGAAGTAACCCTTATATACAGCTATACATTCATTTAAAAAAAAATCTCTCCAAGCATAGCAGCTCTCTGATATTTTGTTTTCACAATACACCCAGGATGCCATGCAAGGAAAGTAGCCGCAGAGACATTTTACTATTCCAGCAGAGAAACACAACTACTTTAACAGACATTTCAAGCAACGTCAAGTGATAGAACAAAGTGTGGATTTTAGATAATGTATGCAATAAATATATTTATCTCTGCTTTAAAAGCTTTTTCCACCCAATCTCTATTTTCCACTCTATAAAAATCTATTCTTCAAGTATACATAAAAAATGCTAAGTCTCCTGTACATGTACAGAACACGAACAATATTCAGCTAATGGATGTGAGCTTTATATAAACAAGAATAGTTTTTTTTTCCTCTAAACTATATATTATGGGGAACTGTCAAAGGAATTGCAAATTAGTTAGGACAGAGAGAATTTTGTTGAAGTTTGGCTATTTTAAAATTGCTGTATTTTTGCCATTTATCCATCTATCTCAATTATACAAATACAGTTTGATTTAGAAGTTGCTGGAAAGGCCAAAGTATCTTCAAACAGATACCAGATCGATGATATTAAAGAAGGAACCATGAGAAGGTCCTCTATATGTTCCTGCTGGCTTGGATAGAATACAACACATTCTGTCAAAGCTTGCCCGCCGTAGTGAAATTTGCCTTGGAATGCACCGTAGTTGGGTTTGCAAGACCTCTTCATCAGTGAGCTGGGTTCATTGTAAGCTGGGTTCTGAGGAACCTAATACATATTTGTTTTGTTTGATTTTTTATTTAACCCCTTAAGACCGCAGCCAAATGTACAAGTTGTGATCAAAACAAAACGTTAACAAAACCTGGCATTTGCGCTATATGTCTGTCCAACCTTAATTCACCTCTTTCATATTAAATGCACCCACCCTTATTATATATCATTTTATTCAGGGGAAACAGGGCTTTCATTTAACATCAAATATTTAGGTATGGAACATAGTTTAAAATGAATAAAATATAAAAGAAATGGGAGAAAATAAGATTTTTTTTTTAATTTTCTTAGTTCTACATGACATTTTAACTGTGAATGTCAAAATACTGTTTGCTTTTACTGCAATAAAATACACATATTTGTATTCAGCAATGTCTCACGTGTAAAACAGTACCCCCTGTGTACAGGTTTTATGGTGTTTTGGGAAGTTACAGGGTCAAATATAGCACGTTACATTTGAAATTGAAATTCGCCAGATTGGTTACGTTGCCTTTGGGACTTTATAGGAGCCCAGGAATAAGAAATACCCCCATGATGGCATACCATTTGCAAAAGTAGACAACCCAAAGTATTGCAAATGGGGTATGTCCAGTCTTTTTTAATAGCCATTTGGTCACAAACACTGGCCAAAGTTAGTGTTAATATTTGAAAATGCAAAAAACTAATTTGAATGCCAATTTTGGCCAGTGTTTGTGACTATGTGGCTACTAAAAAAGATTGAACATACACCATTTGCAATACCCTGGGTTGTCTACTATTGCAAATGTTATGCCATCATGGGGGTAATTTTTTCATTCCTGGACTACCATGCGGTCTCAAAGGCAACATAACCAACCTGGCGAATTTTAATGTGAAAAAATTGAAAAGCAAGCCTTATATTTGACTCTGTACCTTTTGAAAACACCATAAAAACTGTACATGATGGGTACTGTTATACTCAGGAGACTTCGCTGAACACAAATATTAGTGTTTCAAAACAGTAAAACGTATCACAACAATTATATTGTCACTGTAAGTGCCATTTGTGAAAAATGCAAAAAAATTCACTGTCACTGACGATATCGTCGTTGTAATACATTTTACTATTTTGAAACACTAAATTTGAGAACATTGAGAACCTGTGGTCCATCATCAAATGTGAGATTTACAAGGAGGGAAAACAGTACACCTCTCTGAACAGTGTCTGGGAGGCTGTGGTTGCTGCTGCACACAATGTTGATGGTGAACAGATCAAAACACTGACAGAATCCATGGATGGCAGGCTTTTGAGTGTCCTTGCAAAGAAAGGTGGCTATATTGGTCACTGATTTGTTTTTGTTTTGTTTTTGAATGTCAGAAATGTATATTTGTGAATGTTGAGATGTTATATTGGTTTCACTGGTAATAATAAATAATTGAAATGGGTATATATTTGTTTTTTGTTAAGTTGCCTAATAATTATGCACAGTAATAGTCACCTGCACACACAGATATCCCCCTAACATAGCTATAACTAAAAACAAACTAAAAACTACTTCCAAAAATATTCAGCTTTGATATTAATGAGTTTTTTGGGTTCATTGAGAACATGGTTGTTGTTCAATAATAAAATTAATCCTCAAAAATACAACTTGCCTAATAATTCTGCACTCCCTGTACATGTACACAAGCCATGGCGCATGCTGTGATTTAAATATTTCTGAGTGTTAAAAGCCCCCAATAAAGATGGCAAAAGACATCTGAAAAGTTCTGGCATTGTGCCACAGTAATTGGGCACCTGGGGCAGCCATTATGGGGGTTATTGCGGGACCGTTTCACTAGAAAGGAGTCTATCACTAAGGGCACAAGACATGATGACATAAAGTGTACGTCCACTGTCTCCGACAGATTATATTGATTAGTGATTACTGTGTGTTTTTATTTAATGTCACTCTTTTTGTGCTCCCTTGTTGCTTAGCATATGCTAAGTAAATATATCTTCCTTAAATCTGACCGAACATTAACTTGAATGTAGTTGGAAATCATCAGCATTGAGGAATTACAACCACTGCCGCTAGATCATATTGTTTTTTTGTAATAATTTTTTTTTGTATCCTGCTATTAATATCATATGCAAGTGGCAACACAAATCATATACTAAACACTCAATATTCTGGTCTTCTGACATTTTACTTCTTCTGGTATGTCAGATAAGCTATTTGGGTGTATTTCTGCTTCATATAGTCCAATGCTGTCAAAGCAGTTTTTCACAGCAGTGCTATGCCTTAAATATTGTAATTGGCGTGCTCATGAAACAAATGTAACCCTGCATTAGCTCAGCTAGGGACAAAATTAAGAGCAGTCATCGAACGGGAAGTAAAATTTATGCAATCAGACATTACGGAACCCTCAGCTTAGATTACGATTTCATCCAAGTTGATGTTCTATAATTTTAACGATGGATAGAGCACTCAATGATGTTTATTTTATCAACCTGAAATGCCGCGTTAGGCCATCAATGACCATGATGTTTAAAAAGTTCCTATAACTATTGCTTTAATCAAATGGGCTAGCTCACCAGTTTACCAGAGTTAGCTCAGTGGGTCGAACTCCAGCTGCAGTATTTCATTGTCACCTGTTAATTCATTATTTTATTCTTCTCAAGAAGCAAATCAAGAAAACCTTGAACATTTGGTTGGGTAGTAACTGCATCTAGAGTGTGGGACATACTTGGAAACTAGCAAAAAGCTAAATGTACCTTTACTGTTTAAATATTTCTATGTAACTGTTATTATGATAGTAGTCAAACAAGACAGCTGTTAACGGAGCTACGTGTGAGTAATTTGAATGAATAGACTTAAATTTCCATAAAGTAGTCTATATGGTGATAGATACACATCGACATAATATCACAAATTTCATTGATGCTCATACATTTCTCATTTATCTCGAAATGCTTCAGGTTATACAATCAATGCCTCCTTGTGTCAATGACATCCTGTGATCAACATGCATAGAATCTTGAACATTCCCGTTGGAACTGTTTCCAAACAGCTTCTACACTAAAACTCCCAGCCATTATTACAAGACCATATGAAAACACATTTGATGCTGTCCCTTAATCATACGTGTCACTGTTCCCACTGGGATATGGTGTACGCCAGATCATATTGAACATCTCTGAAGCCCTTCCAGAATTGATTCATCAGCAAATAAATTACTCTTGTTAGCAGAATACCACTCCGTTGTCAACAGATGACGAATCGGTGGCTTCTACAAATCCCTGCAGAAAATTCTAATAATAACTTTTCGAAGTCGCTGCTTGGTTTTACAATAACACCATTTAAAATGAACCTCTTCTCTCAGATTCATTTAATAGTTACAGTTTTACATCTTTGATGACCAAGAAAGCTACGTATGCTTATTTGACAATCACAAAACTTTGAAGAATACAAATGAATTTCTAACTGGGCAATTTATATAACAAATGAAAGTGATGCTAGCCTAATGAAGCCACTTTTCTTAATCAGCTCATATCAGCAGCTGATACGAAACAAAGTGTCTGTGTTATTATCTTACCAAATAAATAAGATAATGGTCTCTGGTCTTAAGGGGTAATGTATTCTAAATTAGATCAGCTAATGTCTCACTGGCTTTTTTATGCTCGGCTGCATAATTTGAGATGATAGTAACAACAATAACAACTAAATTACTCTAATTAAAGTAACACACGATATTCGTCATGATGCCAAGGTGGACATGTACTGAAATAAAAGTTAGCGGCCACTCCACTCCAAACTCCACTCATGGTCACTTCTAAACTCTGCACCATATTACTCTTTAAATTCCACCCCCTAAATGTATTCAAATTCAAGTTTTTTTTTACACACCCTTTCCACTACTCCTTCTTACAGGCCCCAGTGCAACTTCTTGTTGCCTCCAATGCTCCATCTTACCCTCCTACTGCTGCTTCTCCCTCCATTAATCCACCAACTCTTATTTCCCCCCACCAGATGATGGAAGGGCAGTCACATTCCAGGTTGTTATTCCTATTTTAAGTTCTATTGATTTTTCTTTTTTCTCTCGCCCCATTTCCTCCTTATATAACTTTTTAAGTTTGTTGGGTTAATAATGAGGTCAGAAAGTGGTAGAAAGTTTGAAATCCATATTTCTCTCAATCCAAAAATGCTGCTCTCCTAGTACTTTGATCTAAGCTTATGTAGAATAGAGAAGACACGAGACCTTGAAGGAGCAGAATGCTCAGTATAACATTGGTAATCACTTTTGTATTAAGGTGTATTAAGAAAAGTTTATAATCAAGTTAACTTCCTTAAACTAAACTTGACCAAAACTGAAATTCTGGTCTTTCCTCCCTCAAGTGTTGTTACTCCTGTGTCTGTCTCCCTCCAAGTCAACGGTGCTACCATCAGCTCCACCATGCAGGCTCACTGCCTAGGTGTTCTCTTTGACTCCGAACCCTCCTTCAAGCCTCATGTTCAATCCATCGCCAAATCATGTCATTTCCATCTCAAAAACATTGCGCGCATCCGCCCCTACTTAACGCCTGATGCGACTTAGGTGTTGGTCCATTCCACTGTCCTTTCTCGCCTTGACTACTGTAATCCGCTTTTCAGTGGTCTTAGGTGCTCCAAACTTGCGCCGTTACAGTCCATAATGAATGCGGCGGCAAGGCTCATCTTCCTCTCCGCCCGCACCTCCCACGCCTCACCCTTCTGTCAGTCCCTACATTGGCTTCCTATAAAATATAGTGCTCAATTTAAAATTCTGGTTCTTGCCTTCAAATCTCTACATAATGCTGCTCCCACCTATCTATCCTCCCTTATACACAAGTATGTCCCGTCTAGGCCCTTACGATCTGGTGAAGACTTACGCCTATCTTCTGTCCGTACTCCAATCTCTGATGCTCGCCTTCAAGATTTCTCGAGGGCTGCACCGTTCCTGTGAAACTCATTTCCCTCCTCCGTTAGATGCTCACCCAGTCTCCGCTCCTTCAAAAAATCGTTAAAAAACCACTTCTTCATAAAAGCGTATCAATTAAACTGTTAATAGTTCCTGACTGATTCCTCTTCTGCAACTGTCATTAGTCTAATACTATCCCTACCTTTTGTGTCATTTTACCCCACTCCCTCTAGCATGTAAGCTCATTGAGTAGGGCCCTCAACCCCTCTGTTCCTGTGTGTCCAACTTGTCTGGTTACAACTACATGTCTGTTTGTCCACCCATTGTAAAGCACTGTGGAATTTGACGACGCTCTATAAATATGATAATAATAATAATAATAATAATAATAATAATGAAGAAAGTTTCCAAGTTTCCCTCCACCTACAATGCACCGGACACATTTTGCATCTGAGCAGGATTTATTCGAATTTATTTGAGACATATGCTCAAAGTAAAAAGGAAATCATAGGAAAAGTCAACGAAAGCACACAAGTCATCTGCACATCACAATTGAAGTGAACATAGTTTAACTCCGTCACTTTCTTTTGTAACAATCTCTATAATACCATGGCACAGATTAAGTATAATACCAGTTCTAGACTCTGCAATTGCATTTTTTCAGTCCGAGCTCTTGCGTGTTTGGAATTTGCTTGTAAAGTGTAAATAAAAGGGACACACCTGCCCTGGGTTACATCTGACCTCATTCAAATGTATCAGTTTAGAGATTCACTGTGGTCAAAGTTCAAGCGTACTGGCTCCATGAACAATCACTGTACCTACAGACAATGGCGAAATGCATGCACAAAACAAACACAAATGGCAAAGGCCCAATATTTTAGAAAATCTGAACAATAACATATCAAACCCAAGAAACTTCTGGAAAATCATAAATAGCGTACAAACCCCCACAAGCCATTCCCAACCATCCGATGTCAAAATGGACAACCAAACACTGCAACACCCCCTAGATGTAGCAAACAATTATTTTGTCGGATGTGATACAACCCTGGTTGCTCAGATAACAAATGTCACTCATTTTCAGACCACAAATAAAGATCAGGTTTTGCCAAATCTTCAAAATCGGCATGTAGAGAAATTCAATTTTAGACCTGTGCCTGTTAGTATCGTTAACAACCATCTTAATAATTTAAAAATTAAAAACCAGTGTGGACCAGATCAAATCCCAGCAATGTTGCTGAAGCTCAGTGTTCCAGCAATTGCTAAACCTGTCATTACCCTTATCAATTAATCCCTGGTGTCAGGATACATACCCAAACTTTGGAAGACTGCAAAAGTTGTACCTATCCATAAAAGTGGTGACAATACTTTGGTATCTAACTATCGCCCAATATCATTGCTCCCGGTATTTCAAAAAACTTGGAAAAATGCATCCACACGCAATCAATGATCAAATTATCTGACCCGTGATCAATCAGGCTTTCGTCCAAATCATTCAACTTCAACTGCCCTCTTAAAAGTTTGCAATGACATCCAAATTGGCATGGAACAAGGAGACTTAACTGGAGCTATTTTTCTTGATTTTGCCAAGGACTTTGACACAGTAGACCATGGCATTCTTTTGCAAAAACTTAAAAACTCAGGCATTGGTGATCGTCCGCTAACTTGGGTTCGATCGTATATTTCAGACCGATTGCAATATGTGGCCATTTCAGATAGCTCTTCCCTCCCTCTTCCAGTCACGTGTGGTGTTCTATTCACATTATTTATAAATGATCTGCCTAACGATTGCAAATCCTCAACTGTACACATGTATGCAGACGACACTGTAATCAACGCTAGTAAACCCAAGCTACCGTAGCTTGAGGCTGTGCTCCAAAACCAATTCACAGAGGTAGAAAAGTGGAGAGCGGATAACAAACTCTTCCTAAACACTGACAAAACATTTACAATGATCTATGGAACTGTACCTATTTTATGTAAACAGCAAAATCAACAACTGTGTATAAGAACAAATTCAAATAGCACACTGACAGCAGTCTGTTCTTTAAAATATCTAGGTATGTTGCTAGACCCCAATCTATCCTTTGGCCTTCACATTGAAAAAATCTCTTCAAAACTTTACCCAAAACTAGGTGCCCTGTACAGAAAGAAATCCTGCCTAAGCCCTACAGTAAGGAAACATATAGTGCAACAAATGCTAATGCCGGTCATTGATTATGGGGTTGTAGTGTATTCACCCGCACCGCAAACCCATCTTAGTAAACTTAATACATTTTATAATTCATTCTGCCGCGTTGTACTAAAATGCAATTACTTTACCCACCACTGTGACATGTTAAAAGAGCTAAACTGGCTGTTGCTGGAATCCTGACGCATTCTTCATCTTTCCAGCCTTGTGCATAAGAGCATTTCTAGGAAGCTCCCACCCTACCTGAGTAGAATGTTCTCCCCAGCTGTTCCCACCTCCTATAAACTCCGATCCAGTACTAGCACGATATTTATCATACCGCAATACAAAAAAAAAGAATGGCTCAATCCTCATTTTCCTACAGAGCACCGCAATTATGGAATAACCTCAGGGACACAGTCAAATCTTCATTCAATCTAAAATCTTTTAAGAGATCTATGGCAATATACCTCAGCACAGAATGCACCAGTCATGGTGAATATATTTATTACCTGTTCTGTGCTAAATTTATATATGTGTGTATGTATATATATATATATTGTTTGTATATTGTATTTTTGTAATATTGTATCCTATTGTAACAATGCAATGTTTTGTGGACCCAGGACATACTTGAAAACGATCCTTTGTATGGCTGGCAGTATTCACACAACTTCATAAAGGCTTAAAGAAAAAATTCAT